TAGTAGTGCTCTTCGAGGAACCAATTAGGACCATCTGGTGGGGATAAGACGAGCAGCCGTCTCAGAGCTCGAAAGCACCTCGAGTCGCTCTTGAGGCTGAGGCGCGATGACGAGGCGCAAGGCGGCGTAGTTGCGCCCGATTTCCCCATCGTCACGACTCGCCAGGTGGCAATTCTCAGGATTCTTTCAGCCCGTACCCAGCCCGGCAGGTGTGGGAAACACTTGCCCTACGAACTTCACAAGTCCATTGCTGTGACATGTGATGTGACTTGTGTTTCCGGCTCGGGCAACACCCCTGGGAACGAGCTCTTCGTTGCAAGTGAAGGCATCATTTGGAGGAAGCCTCGTGTTTCAAGCGTATGACACGTCAGCGCTACGCTTCGGGATTACAGGAATCTTCCTGACCAGGTGACACGTCAGATCAACACAGAAGCAGGCTCTTTTCGGCCCGGGCCAGTCAAGAAAGTTCGGGCAGCCGCTGGGCCGACGGGCAGCTGGCAGGAGTTTGGAATCAGGCCTGGATAGACCTTCCAAACTAGCTACACCCCTAATCGCAGGTAATGCAGCAGATCGCCTGGCAGCCGCTCACTCACTCGTGCCAGGTAAGAGGCTAGTTGGAGAGACGCATTACAGTTGCGTTCTGGAGACGGAAAGCTACCCCGGCTGCATCTCCACCGTCCGTCTGGCATTCAGGAACAAAGTACCGTAAAGAATGAAAGGTATCCCATTTCAGGTGATTCTAGTACACTGCACCAAGGGTTGGCGGCAAGGACAGCATAACTATAACTCCACCTATAACGGACATCATTAAAAAGATGATATTTTGTAACGACAGGAAGATTATACACATGAAGGAACTACCTACACAAGAACCTGGTAATACCGGTAAGAACCACAAATCAGCTCAACAAGATTACATCAAAAGCTCCTTACACCAAGCCACAACACAGCCACCAGTGCCACCAAGCCACAGTACACGAATCAACATAGGTAGGTACTACTGCTCAATAAATCCATGAAACAAAACAGTACGGTATGATATGTTACGAAAAGGGCGATGGGTGTTGCCATGACACGCAGTGACTCCATACGAACGACCCACCATCGGTTCGGAAATCCCGTTAGTGTGCCAAGCGTTGTAGACCCGTCTCCTTGGCACTTGTCTCCAGGGCCTCAGTGAAGCATAGTACGGTACCAGTACGTGAAGCAAGAATCCATTTTCACTGATGCTCTCTGATGCTCTGAAACACCTGGAAGTTCAGACTTCAGCCTGACTGGATCACTTCTCCAATCCCAGGCCTGACTGGGCCACGCCCCGAGCCAAGCCACGCCCCAAGCCAAGCCACGCCCCAAGCCAAGCCACGCCCCAAGCCAAGCCACGTCCCAAGCCAAGCCACGTCCCAAGCCAAGCCACGTCCCAAGCCAAGCCACGTCCCAAGACAAGCCACATCCCAAGCCAAGCCATATCCCAAGCCAAGCCACATCCCAAGCCAAGTCATATCCCAAGCCAAGCCACATCCCAAGCCAAGCCACGTCCCAAGCCTAGCCACGTCCCAAGCCAAGCCACGTCCCACGCCAAGCCATATCCCAAGCCAAGCCACATCCCAAGCCAAGCCACATCCCAAGCCAAGCCCAAGCCCGAGTGCACAAAAGTTGGGCAGAGAACAACAGTCGACTGATTGGCTTAACTATCCGAAACAGCATGCCAGGCCACGTTGTGCCATGCCATGACATTTCATGCATTGCCATGCGATGTGACGCTTTGCCACGCCATGCCATGCATTGCTGTGCATTGTCATGCCATACCATGCCATGCCATACCATGCCATGCCGTGCTATGCCGTGCCGCACCATGCCGTGCCATGCCGTGCCGTGCTATGCCGTGCCGCACCATGCCGTGCCGTGCCATGCCACGCTGTGCCATGTCGTACTATGCTGTGCCATGTCATACCATGCTGTGCCATGTCATACCATGCTGTGCAGGTGTCATACTATGCTGTGCCATGTCATACCATGCTGTGCCATGTCATACCATGCTCTGCCATGCAATGTCAAGCCATCCCATGCAATGCCATGTTGCTGCTTGTAGCCTTGATCTCATGAGAATGCAGTGTATCCCAAGACAGTCAGCAAGAACGGCATCAAGCATCAGCAAGAATGATGTGCGGCTGTGCCCATAGCAGCATAAACTTGCAGTCTGCTAACACCATCCGGCCCCATGCTGCTGCTGCCTTGCTACTCTTCACATCCCACCCACGGCTCCATGCCCCCTTGCCGCCTCCTCTCAACCCTCCCTCCTCTCAACCTTCTTATCACTAGCATGCTGCTGTACCCCCACACCAGTACCAACAGAACACCTAAAAAAACTCCCCCAACGTTCCCCCAACCCTATACCAAGCCTCACCCGAGGCTCTCCAAGGCTCCCCGAGCATTCCTAAGGTCCCCCGAAGCTACCCGTGGCTCCACGAGCCTCCCCGAGCCTTTCCAAGGGGCTGAAAGACTGTCGGCACAACTCCAGGCACGCCCGAAAGCTCTGAAGCCCTCAAGCTGACAGCAAACACAGGGACTAACAATCCTCTCCTCGGTCCCAGCTATTTAGCCAATCAGCGCCAACTTCGCCATGCTTCAAAGGAGGCCCGGCCACGCTACAGCCAAACAACCCCGCCCGGTCGAGTCGAGATTGAGTTACGCCGAGCCGCGTGGAGTGAGTCAAGTAGAAGAGTCAAAACGGGTTGGGTCGAACCAAGTAAACACGCCTGAAAGAAAGGAACAGCTCTGCCAGGGGAAAGACGCCAGCTTGTGAGCGGCCGTGTTAAGGCAACTGACGCACGCAGCTGATGCAGGCACCGCAGTGGCACTGAGGGGGCGTGCAGTGCATGCCTCCATGCAGTGAGGCAGCACCATGCCTCCATGCAGTGAGGCAGCACCATGCCTCCCAGTGTGGCTGCGGCTGCCTTTGGTGGGGGGCGTGCATCCGTGCATGGGCGGGCAGAAAGGCTGATGGATTGCCGTACCTTTGAAAGGCATGGGCAAGGGTGTGGGAGGAAGAGAGGTCTGATCTCTCACATTCCCGTTTCAACTGGACTCCAAAATCGCCTGGGAGGCCAAGTGTCTTGTCTCTCCTGCGTTCCCTTTTTGACTGCCGTTCCCCTTTTCACTGCACTCCGACATTCCCTGAAGGGTGGTCATCCAGTCTCGCGCATTCCCGCGAATCTCCTGAGCACGTGCCATGCCGAGGCACACACCAGCTGCTGGCAGCATGTGGAGGGAGGCATGCAGTGCCGTACAGTGCGGTCCAATGCGGTGCGGTGTGGCTCTAGCCTCACGCAACGCGCATGATCGTGCCACTTCCTGTCCGCCAGGAGTTGAACAGCCATGAATACCCGCCCGTCCTCCTCCTTTGCCATAACTCAGCATGAAGATTCGATCATTCGACCCACCCTCGCGGCTCTGAAAATTCTCAAAAAGCCACTGGGAGGGCCATGCCTTCACCCATAGGAGCCAGAGGCTCGAGATCCGTGATAAGTCGTCCTACCCCCCCCTCGGCCCCCCTTCCTCCCTCCTCCCCCTCCTCCCCCTCTTTCCCCTCCGCCCCTACCCCCCCCTCGCCACCCACTGCGCCCCCCTGCCGCTCTCCCCACACCCATGTTGCTCCCACCCCCCCTTCCTCCTCCTGCTCCCCCTGCCAATGATATTGCCGCAGCTGCCGCCGCTGCTGCTGCTGCGGCCGCCGCTGAAACAGCCGATGCAGATTCCAACCCCGAAACTTGTGTTTCTCCTGCTGACAATGCTGCTCCCACACCCACTGCTCCCACATTTCGTTCACCTCTTACCCTCCTTAAAGCTTCCTCTTCCCCTCTCCCTCTCCCCTCACTCCCTTTCCCGCCTCCGCCTCCCCAACTGCTCAATCGGCCAGTTTTGCCACTGCCCCTCTTCCCCTCGTCCTCCTGGTTGTCACCCCAAGCACCAAGCGCGGCACAGGGAGGTGATGGGAGGAACAGAGCTGACCCTCCCAGCAGCCTTGCTCCTGCTGCTGCTGCTGCTGCTGCTTCTGCTGCTGCAGCTGTTCCAGATGTTGTTGCTGCTCCTGTTCCTGCTGCTCCTGCTGCTGCTGCTGATGTTGGCGTTGGTACCACTGGTACGGAATCAGATGAGCCAGACGCGAGAGAAGAGGAGGGGCGGAGGAGAGACGGAAGGAGGAGGTGGGAGGGCAGGCGGAGAGAGAGAGACGAGTTTGGGGGGAGTAGTATGGGCACTGGCGGGGCAAGCGTGCGGGCTTGGGTGGAGTGATGCTGGGAGGATTGCTGGTTCTGGGTAGAACTGTTGCTACTGCTGCTGCTGCTGTTGCTGGTGGTGGTAGTGCTGGTGGTGGTAGTAGGAGTGGAGGGAGGGAGGATGAGAGTGGGGCAGGATGCGAAGAGGAGCGCATGGTTGGGAGTCACCTGCATGTGTGATGAGTGAGCGGGAAGGAGGGAGAAGAAGGATTTTGAGGCGCCTCAAAAATCGCCTCAAAAATCGCCTCAAAAATTGAGGCGCCTCAAAAAGCGCATGGTTGGGAGTCACCTGCATGTGTGATGAGTGAGCGGGAAGGAGGGAGAAGAAGGGAAGGGGTTGACTCTGACATGGAGTTCGACTTTTGAGGCGCATGGTTAAGAGTCACCTGCATGTGTGATGAGCGAAAAGGCGGGGTCGACATGGAGTCATGGAATCCTGAGTCGCGTATTTGTAACGAGTCTGGTGGAGACGATAACGAGTTTTGAGACGGCACAAAGGGGCCTGGTGACAATAAACTCGTTACTGAGATGTCTCAAAACAGAAGGGGCCTGGAAGCAATGAGGAGAACATTGTTGTGAGTCACATGCGTGCGTGATGAGGGGACAGAAAGCGACTTTCCAGTCAACTCAAGAGTTGACTCACGAGGAGAGGTGACTCAAGAGTGACATGGGCGGAGCACTTGGCATCACAAGGCATAGATGCACCGACAGAAATAGAGAGCTGAATCAAACAAGATCGAATCGAATCAAACTGACCACATGGATGCGCTGCAGAGTAGCAGCAGTTGCTGGGAAGAACCGCTTCCTGTGGCCCCACTTGCCCCCACCTGCCTCCTGTATGTCACAGGACTGCTTCCTGTGGCCCCACTTGCCCCCTATTGACCCTCTCTCCTTGCTGCCCTCTCCCCTCGCTGCTCCTTTCCCTCCCACATCCCCAATTGTCTTCCCATTTTCCTTCTCACTCCCCTCTCCCTTCCCACCACTGCTGCTCGCCTCCCAAGCAGTCAAGGCCTTTGCTTCTCCCAATTCTACATCCTCTTCTCTCTCCTCCCCTTTAACAATCGCTCTTCCCACCCGTTTCGTATTCGATTCCTTTCCCCCCTCCTCTCCCTCCTCCTCCTCCCCTCCCTCCTCCTCCCCTCCCCCCTCCTCCTCCTCCTCCTCCTCCTCCTCCTCCTCCTCCTCCTCCTCCTCCTCCTCCTCCTCCTCCTCCTCCTCCTCCTCCTCCTCCTCCTCCTCCCCACTCCCCTCCCCTTCCCCCTCCACTCTCTCATCCCTCCCCAACATCACCTCCTCCCCCTTCACAGTAACACTTCGCACACCACGCCCTCTCACCGCCTCACACTCAGGGCACCCCACCACCAGAGACTGGTCCCTCCCAACCCACTCCCCAACCCAGTCCTTCTCACCTCCAATCAATCCCTCTGCCCCGCTGGTTCGGGCGGATAGGGGCGGGGCAGCAAAGAAGCGGTGGCCGGCAGAGCAAGCGTATTCGAGGCCTAGAAAGACACACACTGACACCACCCTCACACCACTGCTGCTGCTGCTACTGCCATTGCTACCGCTGGTGCCACTGGTGCTAGTGCTGCTGGCAGTGCTGCTGCTGCTTGTGGCCCTGCTGCTGCCACTGCTGCTGCTGCTGCCACTGCTGCCGCCACCGGTGCTGGGAGGAGGGTGGGGCAGCAGGGAGCGGCGAGTGAGAAGCTTCTTTTCCGCGTCCCCTCCCCGTGCCTGGATGCTGGCTTGAGGGGGCGTGGGCAGGAGTGGCGGCTGCTGCTTCGGGTTCTTCACCTGCTGCTGCTTCAGTTGTTGCTGCTGCTGCTGCTGCAAAGCAGGCGCCACTAGCCCTGCTCCAACTCCTGCCCCTCTTCCACCAGGTGCCCCAGGCCCTAAAATGCCCTTCTCATACCCACCCTTGTCAGCCCCATGCGCTGCAGTGGCTGCGCCATGCCCTGCTGTCACCCCATGCGGTGCTGCTGCGCCATGCACAGAGGCAGAGAGGGGAGGGAATGCCATCTCGGCAGTGTTCACTGCTGCTGCTTGCCTACCTGCTCCCCCTGCAATGGCGGCAACACGGGCAAAAGAGGTGGGAGGCTGCACCTCACGAGCACGTAACGTTGCCGTTGCCCCTGTCCCTACCGCAGCTGCTGCTTTTGCCCCTGCTCCTGCCCCTGCTCCTGCACCTGCCCCTGCCCCTGCCCCCACCTCCTTCTTCCCCCCATCCTCTGCCCGTGCATCCACCTCCCCCTCTGTTTCCTGCTGCACGCCCTGCCCTCCCTGCCCCTGCTGCCACTCCCTTTCTGCAACCACCACCTTAGCCCCCTCTTCTAGTGCAGCAATAACGCCAGCATCCCCTACACTGTATCGAGCCATGCAATAGCGAGTCTCGGCCACCGCCCCACGCCCACCTCCCAACCCCTTCGACGCAGCAGCTTCCACAACCCCTGGCACTTTACATCCCTCCCCTTCACCCCCTCTTTCTCCTGCCTCTCCTCCCTCTCCTCCCTCCCCTCCTTCTCCTCTGCTGTTCTCTGATTCAACTCTCTGCACCCTGCCCAACTCCTTCACTCCCTCCATCTCCTCTCCTCCTCCTCGTTTCCTCACAGCCCAGATCTCACCTGTCACTCTCTCCCTCCCAACCCCCCCCCCTCACCTCCCCCTCTTTCCCTCCACCTCCCTCTCCTCCATCTCCCACTCCTCCACCTCCCCTCGTCCCTCCCTCCACACCCACCAACCCGCTTTCCTTTCCTGCCCCTCTGCTGCTGCCCGCACCCCGGCCTCCCTCCTCAGCCACATAGATCGCCGGCAGCTGGACTGCCCAGGGCAGAAGAAAGTTTCGCCCGGGCAGAAATCCCTCCTGCTGGACCCCCTTCATTGGGTCGTACCAATTCCTACTGCCCAGAACAGTAACACCCCACTCAAATTCCAACCCCTCACTCCCCTTCCGCTCTCTCCTCTGCACGTCCTCTCTCCATTGAGATTCCGTCTCGCCAGCTTTAGAGCTTTGCCTGTTCGCCTTTGCTTCTCCCCAGCTCGTCTGGTCAAGAGGAATGGACCAGAGCAGGTCGCAGCAGGAAAGCGATGGGCGGAGGAGGGAGGAGAGCGAGAGCAGGGAGAGGGGCGTAGGGAGGAAGGGGTCACAGAGAAGGGCTTGGGTGCTGCCACAGACACACGCACACAGCAGCACTGCCCCACTCTCATGCCTGCTCGCCCCACTCCCACACCTGCTCGCTCTGCCCTCGAAGAAAGCTGCAACAGTGTGTTCCCGTTGCCCTGCTTCCCCTGCCCTCCTTGCCATCCCGTGCACCTCCTCCCTCGCTGCCACCCCCCACCTCTCATGCCCTAGCGGTAACCAACATGGTAATCCCAAGGCAGATACCGCCTCACACTGCTGCCTCCCTCCTCCCACTCCTCCCACTCCTCCCACTCCTCCCACTCCCTTCCCCACCCAGTGCTCATAACACTGCCGCTTCAGCAGCTCGAAGAACTCCCCCCGGGCAGGTCCTCGGGCGGCCTCCGCGAAAACTTTCACGGCTGCCCGGAAGTGTGTTTGGTGCACACGGGCAGTGTAGAGCTGCCCGAGGCCCCTGCGGTACGTGTGGAGGGCGCGGGTGAGGGCAGTGCGGCAGAGCAAGGAGGAGAAGAGGGCTGCAGGGGAGCTGGACGAATCTGATTGGTCGCTGTGCATGTGCGTGTGCGTGAGGGGAGGTTGGGATGGCGTGAGCACTGCTGCTGCTGTTGATGATTGTAGTGATGGTGTTGCCGATACACCCACCCTTCCTTGTCCTCCTCCTCCTCTTCCTCCTCCTCTTCCTCCTCTCCCTCCTCCTCTTCCTCCTCCTCTTCCTCCTCCTCTTCCTCCCCCTCTTCCTCTTCCTCGCACGTCCCTCTTCCTACTGCTACCAGCACCTCTGCCAGCATAACTAAACGCGGTCAGCACCGCACCAAACTCCTTTGCATCCCCTTGAAACCCTCCGTCCACCCTCTGACCAGAACCCTGATCCCTTTTCCCTTTCCACTCACACACCACACGAGCCACCCTCTCACACCCAGCCTGCCACGTGTCAAAATCTGGTAGCTCCCACGGTAGCCCCCCTCCCCCCACTCCGCCTGCAGATCCCCCCACGCCTCCCCCCATGCGCCCTCTTGCTCCCCCGCCTCCTCTTGTCAGCCCCAGCGCCCCCGCCCACCCTCCCCTCCCCCTCATGCCCCCTCTCCCCCCCCCTGCCCCTGCCCCTACAGCTGCTGCTGCCCCTGCCACTGGCCCTGCTTCCACATCCGCCCCTTCATTTCCTCCTTCTCCGGCTCCTTCTCCTTCTCCTCCTCCTCCTCCTGCTGCTGCACCCGAACCAGCTGGCACAGCTGCGGCTGGAGCTAGGGACAATAAGGCGGTACCGCTGCCGTCCCTGCCGCCACTTCCCCCTCTGCCCCCAACACTGGCAGAACCAACGCCTCGCCCTGGGAGGGGCTGAGCAGCCTTCCATCGAGCCTCCATCACCTCCCTCTGCCCCACAATAAAGTCCCAGATCGACCCCGCTGCTGACTCTGCTAGCTCTGATGAGGAGGAGAGGGGTGCTGCTGAGAGGGCTGATGTGAGGGTGGAGGGTGCGTGGGATTGCGGTGCGGTGGAGAGCGGTGCCGGCGGGTTGAGAAGCACGGGGGAGAAGGGCGCGAGGGATGAGAAGGACGGGGAGAGGAGGGAGAAGGAGAGAGGAAGGCCCTGCTGCTGCAATGCCATGCTCGCGTTCAATCCCTTGCCGCCCAGTTCTTGTCCCATGCCGCCCAGACTGCCGCCCAGACTGCCGCCCAAACCGCCGCCCGGATTGTCGCCCAGTTGTGCAGCCATGAGGGCGTCAGTAGCAGTGGAGAGGCCGCGTTGGTTGGAGAGAGCAGAGTGGTGAATGACGAGAGCACAGCGAGAGGGGTCCAGCACGAACAGAGGGGACGCTGCTGCTGCCACCGCTGCTGCCAGTGTTGCATCTGCAGCTGCCAATGGTGTTGGTGCTGCTGCTATGGCTGCTGCTGTGGTGGCTGCTGCTGCTGCTGCATCCCCCGTTGCGCCTTCCGCATCTTTCATCTGGCTCAGTGCTCCACTCTTCATCATGGCCGTCCATTGCCTCAGCCAACGGGGGCCTGCCACGTGTACGTCCACAGCAGAGGCCACCGGGCGGCAGCGCTTGAGCAGAGATCTGATCTGCGACTCCAGGGCGGATTGCATGCGGCGACGGATGACCAATGGCGACATGACAGGTGGGCTCGCGTCACTGGCCGCACTGGTATCAACAGTAGAAGCACCAGCAGAACCAACAGCACCGGAAGCACCAGCAGGCCCGGCCAAAGCAGCAGCACCAGTGGCTGATCCTCCTCCTGCTGCTGCTGCAGCCGCCTCCCTGCCCCCAGCCCCACCATCCTTGCCTCCTCCCTCGCCCTTCCCCCCTCCTCCTGCGGTGTGAGTCACGGCGAGAGCAGCCTGAGCGGAGGCGAAGGGGACGGGGAAGGCGAAGAGTAGGCAGGGCGTGGAGAACCCGGGCAGCAGCTGCAACCTGCACGCCTCCTCCTGCCCCTGGGGGTGATGCTCACCGTTAACGCTGCTGCTGCTGTTGCTGTTGCTACTGCTGCCAGTGGTGGTAGTGGCGCTGCTGCTTGTGGTGGGAGCAGCATGAGGGGAAGGTTGGCGCAGGAGCATGTCTGGGGGAAGGGCTGGCAGCAGCAGCGTTGCATCCAGCACAGGCTGGGGCAGCTCTTGCAGCAGCTGATTCTCCTCGCAGTGCTCTGGCGTCGTCGGCTGCTTTGGCAGTGTCTCCCTCGGTCGGTGGGGCAGCAGCAGGCGCGGCAGCAGGGCGAGCTTGGCGCGCTGCAGGGAGCGGAAGGAGCGCAGCAGGTGCGGGTGGAAGAGGGGCGAGGGGCTGATACATACCACCACGTGGCACGCGGTGAATAAGAGCAACCACGCCCTCTGCACCGCTGCCTCCATGTCACCCTCCTCCTCCTCCTCTTCCTCCTCTTCATCTTCCTCCTCCTCTTCCTCCTCTTCATCTTCCTCCTCTTCTTCCTCTTCCTCTTCCTCCTCCTCCCCCTCCTCTTCCTCTTCATTTTCTTCCTCCACCTTTTCTTCTTCCTCCTCCCTCTCTTGCTCCTCTTCTTCTTCTGCCTCCTTCGTTTCCTCCTCTTCCTCCTCCTCCTCCTCCTCCTCCTCCTCCTCCTCCTCCTCCTCCTCCTCCTCCTCCTCCTCCTCCTCCTCCTCCTCCTCCTCCTCACCACCCTCTCTGTCTTCCATTTCAACTCGCCCCTCCCCTTCCCCTTTTTTCTCAGTTTCCGTCTCCCCTAGCTCTTGCCCCACCTCCTCCCCCACATATGCCCCCACCTCCTTCCCCACATCTTCCCCCACCTCCTCCTCCCCCACCTCTTCCCCCGCCTCTTCCCCAGCGCGCGCCCCACAATCTGCGCCCTCATCCGCCTTCCTGACCACCAAGTCCCCAACCTCCTCTCCACTCACACTCTTCTTCCCTTCCCCCTTACCATACCTTCCAATCCCCCTCGATGTAGTCCCACTTTTAGCAGCACTCCTAGCTGCGCTTTTAGTCGCTTTTTTACCAGCACGCTTAGCTGCGCTTTTAGTCACACTTTCACCAGCACGCTTAGCTGCGCTTTTAGTCACACTTTTATCAGCACTCCTAGCCGCTCGTCCACTCACACTCGTGCACAGCTTCACCAGCACCAGGTTCTGCTGCCGGTCATAAAACTGCTCCAGCATGCCACGTAGCAGCCCCAGGCGTCGCCACGTGGCAGCACCGAAAACATTCTCCTTGCCCTCACCACCACCACAATCACCACCACCACCAGCCACATACCCGCTATAAGCCTCTCCAGGAGCATCAGAAGCAGACTCGGTAGAGGGAGAGGAGAAGGCAGGGTACTGCAGCAGGTGGTTAAGCAGTGCTGTTAGCTCTGAGTCATTCGGGCCAAAAAATCCCACCACCAGCATCCCCTTGCGCTCGCCGCTCGCGCTGCCACTGCCGGCACTGCCGCTGGCGCTGCCGCTACTGGTACGGCTGGTGTTGGTGGTGCTGCAGATGCGATGGGGAGACACACACGGGTTTAAGGTAGGTATACGGGGAAAAAAGGGGAGACACGAGGCTATGTGAGTGAGACGAATGCAGAGAGCGTGACGATTCGAATAAGAGGCGTGATACGAGGGCTAGAGAGCGAGGGCGAGAGTGAAACCCCAACGCAAGATGATGGAACGAACTGACGGCAGGGAAAAAAAACATTTCTCCTCTCACCCTGGATATGACGTGGCAGTAGATCCGGCGTCGCTGCGCGCCGACCCTTCGCTTTGCTCCGCAATCCGCGGAAAACGTCCTCCGCCGCTTACCCTCCCTGCGCCGCCTTCCGCGGCGGAAACCTGATATCCCCCGCCGCCGGGCCTCGAAAACCCGCCATTTCCGCTTCGGCTTCCGCGCGCCGAATCCGCGGAGTTAATATCGACCGTTGATTGCTGGTAAGCCTGCTGGCCCGGCGACCGTTGAGATTGATACCTAGGCTGCTGCTGCACCTGAGGGTGTCGATTTTCCCGTCTGGAGCCACGCCCTCCACCGGCGATGTCCCCGCTGTCTCTACCCCTACCGCGGCCAGCGCCGCCATCGTCGCTAACGCGAGACTCGTCAGTGCTTCCTCCCCCTCCTCTTCCATACCCAACCATGCGACTTGCCATCGACTGACGATCAGAAAATGGCCGAAATAGATTTTGTAAATATTTTTTAAAGAAATTTATTACCTTTTACATACATTTCGTCACCACGTCAGTAGTCCAATGGTTAGGATATTTGCCTTCCAAGCAAAAGATCCGGGTTCGATTCCCGGCTGACGTAATTAAGGGTATGCTCACTTCTCGAATTTGTATGGACAAGTAGCCATCCGCAAGGTTAAATCAAGAAATGTATCGTGCTCCGAAGGGGACTTTTTTTTACGTGACTCCATGCCTTAATTTCAGCACTTATACATATCCGGGTAACCTCGGAAGATGAGTGAGAGAAGTACATTGCACAAACACGCCTTATTGACAACCAATCTAGCACAAGTACACGCAAGTAGGTTTGCAATGGAGAATCAGAACCGAGCGCACAGAATGCCCTTTGTCATCCTTCCACGTGATGCTGCCGTACTGGAATAATCTGAACCTCATCCACACCACAACCTTTACCTTGAATCTTACTCGCTCCCCAGGAGCTATGGTAAACTTTGATGGCGACACCCTCACACTCACAAACTTGGGGGCCTTGATCTTCACCCTGTAGGTCGACGTGGTGTCTGAGACGCTCGTCACTGTCCGTATGGCGGTAACTTTATTCACTATGTTGACCAGTGAGATAGCAGGCCGATTTAGGTTCCTGGCAGGAAGAGGTGTCAGTGGCACGTCTCCGAACACCTTTTGAGCCCTCTCCATCCTCACCCCAGCAAGAAAGTTGCGGAAATCTTGCTCCCCGGCATCATAGGTTAACCCAGGGTCAAGCGCGCTAGCGGGAAAGACATGCCCTGCTCCCATTTGCCACGGTGATGCCGGCTTCACATGTAGATTTCTAATAAGTCTCTTTCTGTTGTCTGTGCGGCGCGCTGTCGTCATCATGGCAGACATGACCTGCGCGGGCGTCCAATCAGGATGCTGCTGGATGATGAGAGCAGCCACACCGGCAACATGTGCCGCCGCCACGGCCGTGCTGTTATCAGCCATGAACGACCCCGTCTCGCCGACGGTTGCCCCGGAAACAGCGGCAAGGATGTTGACTCCCGGGGCAATGATGTCTGGCTTGACAATGGCATTGGAGGGGTAATTTTTCCATGGCTTGCAAATGGTACACTGGGCCACCATAACTGGACCAGAAGAGGACCAATAGGGAACCCTTGGGTGGGTAAATGCTGAAGGGGTGGTGGTGGCAGGAAGTCTGGATCCCACCAGTGTTGACATGGGGAGGGATGCTGTTGCTGATGGCCATGATGCTGTTGGGCCTGTGGTGTTTGCAGGAGATTCTGATGCTGGTTGTGAAGCTGCTGCTGTTGCTATTGACATTGAAATGAAAGAGGCTTGGGGCACGGTACTGCAAGGTGAGAGAGGGAAGGTGTTGACAAGCATGAGAAGGGCAAGAGGAGACGCAGGATGAGGGAGGAGATGCGAGACGAGGGAGGAGAGTGTGGAAAAGTGCATGAACCAAGGACGGAAGAAGAGGAAGAATCATAATTGGCAGCACGGAAAACAAGCAGGCTCCTGCCTTTGCGTGCAGAGGAGAACGAGTGCACACTCAATCATGTCCTACAAGCAAACATGTGATAGCGCACTCAACGAGGTATAAGTTGACTTTCGAGTCGACTCAAATTCAACAAGCGCACACTCATTCATGTCCTACAAGCACACATGTGATAGCGCACTCAACGAGGTATAAGTTGACTTTCGAGTCGACTCAAAGTCAACAAGCGCACACTCATTCATGTCCTACAAGCACACATGTGATAGCGCACTCAACGAGGTATGTCATGGGGTGGGGTGCAATGTTGCAGCACAGCATGTGAAATGGGTGGAAAGTCACTCTTGAGAGTTCTCAAAAGGGGTGCGATGCAATGTTGCTGCAGAACAGAGCATGTGATAGCCCGTCCTCATAGCCTGGGGCTGCAACCTCTGTCACTCTCTAGCGCGTGCACCCCATTCTCACCTCGCCCCCACGGTGATGTAGAAGGGTGAAATGGTGTCGATGGCATCTAATCGGCCGGTCCAATATTCATAGTACTTGGACGTCCCTTCGTCGCCCGCTGCCACAACCACAGTCACTCCAGCCTGAAGGGATGAGGGAGGGAAGGAGGGAGGGAGGGAGGGAGGGAGGGAGGGAGGGAGGGGGGAGGGAGGGAGGGAGGGGGGAGGGAGGGAGGGAGGGGGGAGGGAGGGAGGGAGGGAGGGAGGGAGGGAGGGAGGGAGGGAGGGAGGGAGGGAGGGAGGGAGGGAGGGAGGGGGAGGGAGGGGAGGGAGGAGGGGGGGACGGAGAGAGGGGGGGAGGGAGGGAGGGGGGGAGGGAGGGAGGGAGGGAGGGAGGGAGGGAGGGAGGGAGGGAGGGAGGGAGGGAGGGAGGGAGGGAGGGAGGGAGGGAGGGAGGGAGGGAGGGAGGGAGGGAGGGAAGGAGGGAGGGAGGGAGGGAGGACAAGGAGTGAGGAAAATAGGGCACGGAAAGTTACCAGAGGGTGCTGGGGCCAGAGAGAGTAGGATCGCAGAGAGATTGAGACAGCAATGTGAGGGATGGCTGACAAGGGGATTATAATAGTATGCAAACATGAGTGCATGTACAGTACCGATCTGTACTCACGTGTTGCACCCACTGCGTTAGTAGGGAAGTATAAATTCGCTTACAAAAACAGCTTGGGCCAACCAGCGAACCCACCACATGCCCCCCCCTCACACCCACCGCAAGAGCGCCGATGAAAGGCAGATCTTCAAAGTAGTTCCGTTTGTGACCGTACGCCTCTTCTACGCCAATCAGATGCACGGCCAGCACATCCACACCGTCCGCCACGGCCTGATCAACGGCTGCAAAGACGTCTCCGTATGTAGCGACCATGTACAGGTTATGATGCCAGTACACCTTGTAGATGGCCAGACGTGCCTTGGGAGCCACGCCACTGACTGTGCCCCTGCCAGGCACGTTGACGCCGCTGTTGCCTGCTGCCGCTCTGAGAGTGGGGATGCATGGGATGGGACAGGAAAGGAGAGGGTAGGAGTAAAATGCCATACCATTGCTATGAAGGGCTATGAAAGTGCTATGAGGGGCTATGAGCGGCTATGGGGGGAATGGCCTTGTTACGTGCATTCCTTTCCCCATGTCTGTCAAACCATAATGAACAGCGTTGAACAGCGCCATGCCATACGTTTGAGAGCAAGGGGGACTTGATAGAGAGTGAGGGTGGTCGGAGTTGCAAGGTAAGAACTTCGTGCACCATACACCATACACCATGCACCATACACCATACACCATACACCATACACCATCCACCATACACCATACACCATACACCATACACCATACACCATCCACCATACACCATCCACCATCCACCATCCACCATCCACCATCCACCATCCACCATACACCATCCACCATCCACCATACACCATCCACCATACACCATCCACCATACACCATCCACCATACACCATCCACCATCCGCCATCCACCATCCACCATCCATCATACACCATCCACCATACACCATCCACCATCCACCATCCACCATACACCATCCACCATACACCAGCCACCATACACCATCCACCATCCACCATCCACCATCCGCCATCCACCATACACCATACACCATACACCATCCACCATACACCATCCACCATGCACCATACACCATACACCATCCACCATACACCACCATCCACCATACACCATACACCCTACACCATCCACCATCCACCATCCACCATACACCATCCATCATCCACCATACACCATCCATCATCCACCATACACCATCCACCATCCACCATCCACCATCCACCATCCACCATCCACCATCCACCATCCACCATCCACCATACACCATCCACCATCCACCATACACCATCCACCATACACCATCCACCATACACCATCCATCCACCATCCACCATCCACCATCCACCATCCACCATCCACCATACACCATCCACCATACACCATACACCATCCACCATACACCATACACCATCCACCATCCACCATACACCATCCACCATACACCATCCACCATCCACCATCCACCATCCGCCATGCACCATACACCATACAGTACACCATACGTCATGCGCCATGCACCATGCACGCACCGCTTGTCCCTGTACTCACCACTGCACATCCCTGCACTCACCACTGCACATCCCTGCACTCACCACTGCACATCCCTGCACTCACCACTGCACATCCCTGCACTCACCACTGCACATCCCTGCACTCACCACTGCACATCCCTGCACTCACCACTGCACATCCCTGCACTCACCACTGCACATCCCTGCACTCACCACTGCACATCCCTGCACTCACCACTGCACATCCCTGCACTCACCACTGCACATCCCTGCACTCACCACTGCACATCCCTGCACTCACCACTGCACATCCCTGCACTCACCACTGCACATCCCTGCACTCACCACTGCACATCCCTGCACTCACCACTGCACATCCCTGCACTCACCACTGCACATCCCTGCACTCACCACTGCACATCCCTGCACTCACCACTGCACATCCCTGCACTCACCCAGCACACCACGTGCCATGGAGAGCTGAGTCCCGCGGGGACAGCCAGTCGTAGGGGAGGTCGACATCCCCATATCCCGCGTGGAACACCCCCCCTCCGATGATCTTGTTGTTGCATGCGAAGTCGCTTGTAGTGGGACACGTGCCCGCCCACCCTGGAGGGAGTGTGCTGCTGTAGCCCTGGTGTGGACGAGGAGGGGTGGATGGGCAGTGAGGTGGTGGGGCGGTGGGAGGTTAGCAGGAGCACATGAGCCGAGTGGAACAGGAAGGTTGGACGGCTGGAGGGGAAGACCATGCACATGGTAAGTGGGATGCTGGGTAACATGGCAAACCATCCGAAAGGGAGCATGCTGCTGTAGCCTTGGGAGAGATAAGTTAGGGTGGGGGGTTGGAGAGGAGGTGGGTAACTAAGTTGGAAAAAGCGCTTGGAGCCCTGAGAACCTTGTATAGAACAGCTAGCGTAGGGTAGCTAGAACAGTGAGGGTAGGGTGATAAGGTGAACAGTGAGGGTAGGGTGATAAGGTGAACAGTGAGGGTGGGCTCTGAGCTTACAGTGTCGTCAAAGGAGGGGTGCTCCGGCCACACACCGGTATCCACAATCCCAATCACCGTGCCATCACCATCGCTCGATGCTCCAGCCGGAGTGGCAGCAGCAGTAGTGGTGGCAGCAGGAGTGGTAGCAGCAGGAGTGGCGGCAGCAGGAGTGGTGGCAGCAGGAGTGGCAGCAGCAGTAGTGGTGGCAGCAGGAGTGGTGGCAGCAGGAGTGGTGGCAGCAGGAGCAGCGGGAGTGGCAGCAACGGGAGGAGCAGCAGCAGCAGCAGCGAGGGCGTGGGGCAGCTTGAAGGACTTGTACGCATCGGTGGTGGTAGTGGCGCAGCGAGTGATGGTGCGAGAGGGCGTGACGGACGCCACAGAGGGGTGTCTCCTCATGCGCTGCACCTGAGCTGCCGTGAGCATCGCTGCAAAGCCGTTCGATGCGTGCATGTAGCTGAAGGGGGGGAAGGGAGCAAGGGCGCACAAGGGGAAGAAGAGGGAAGGGAGAGGGGGCAGGAGTGAAGTCCTTATGAGTTGGTGGTGGTGGTGGTGGTGGTGGTGGTGGTGGTGGTGGTGGTGGTGGTGGTGGTGGTGGTGGTGGTGGTGGTGGTGGTGGTGGTGGTGGTGGTGGTGGTGGTGGTGGTGGTGGTGGTGGTGGTGGTGGTGGTGGGTGGACGAGCGATGAAGGGCCATGCGGTAAAAAAATCACAGAAATCAAATCCACCGCATTCCTCATTCCCCTCACCTGTACTCATTCCCCTCACCTATAGACCATCTTCCCCGCGTCAACCCCGCTGTCTCTCAGCACGGCCTGCTGCATGCGCTGCAGCAGCTGCTTGAACGCCCTCACGCCCGGCGCCCTCACGTTCACCCGCGGCCGCCGCCGCACACGGCTGGTCCCTCCTGAACCGCTAGTAGTGGCCGCAGCCGCAGCGGTGACAGAAGCACCAGACGCAGTGCCAACGCCACCGTTGCTTGCAACAGAAGCAGCGCCAACGCGACCATTGCTTGTCACAGAGGAGGAGGACGACTCGGGAGGTACAGCGGGATGGATGGCGGCGTCATCTAACGCAGCGCCTCGTGTGTTGCAGTTAGGGCTGCTGCCAGCCGTTGAGGGAGCTGCAGCACTGGAGCCGTTGGATGCATCAGCACCGTTGGATGCATCGGCACCGTTGGATGCGTCGGCACCGTTGGATGCTTTGGCACCGTTGGATGCATCGGCACCGTTGGATGCATCGGCACCGTTGGCTGCATCGGCACCGTTGGATGCATCGGCACCGTTGGCTGCGTCGGCACCGTTGGCTGCGTCGGCACCGTTGGCTGCGTCGGCACCGTTGGCTGCGTCGGCACCGTTGGCTGCGTCGGCACCGTTGGTTGCATTGGCATCGTTGGCTGCGTCGGCACCGTTGGCTGCATCGGCACCGTCGGATGCATCGGCACCGTTGGATGCATCGGCACCGTTGGATGCATCGGCACCGTTGGATGCATCGGCACCGTTGGATGCATCGGCACCGTTGGATGCATCGGCGGCAGCGTTGGCTGCATCGGCACCATTGGCTGCATCGTCCGCCGTGGCATCTATCGCGTTGCCATTCGGGTCGCTCTCCCACACGGCCGTTGCCGGGAAGCCGGGGATTCCGCCTGTGTAGGAGGCGACGGGTGGCGCAGAGCGCAGGCGGATGATGTAGAGCGCGGAGGCATGGGGGGGAGAAGCTGTGGGGGGGGGGGGGGGGTAACAGGGCGAGGGGGGGATAAGTGAGAGTTCATAAGGGGAAGCATAAGAGGGATCGAAATCGATGGATGCGAGTACTAAGGGCGGCGGTGCGTGGCCGTTTTCTCACCGGCATTCGTGGGGCGGGACAGCTTGACAGGTAGAGCGAGGAGGAGCAATAATAGGAGAGGGACAGTCCATACGATTCGAAAGTGTTGCTTCTCAAAATGAAACGAATGCCGTTTATCAGAACGCTTAGGGAGCAACGGGTGTTGCTTGTGCGAAGCCATCGCAGCGGCCGCACTATCGTAGGAGCAGGGACGGCTGTGAATTTGGAAAAAGAAAAACGAATACATATGCATGAAGCACTCGGAGATTTATGTTCGTTGGGAGCCCAATAAGGGTGATACCTCAAGAAATCAAGAATGTGTCGCGTGGACGAATAAGCTAAGCTGTTTCCACCCTCCTTGCCTCGTATTTAATCCGTTTGCTCTTCTCTGCTCGACTACTTGGTTCTTGCGCGATGAATCTTGATGGCGCTGCTAGTGTCACGCTGTGCTGAGGGTGTGCCAAACCTACTAGCACTGTCAAGCGTATTCGCTGGGTTTCCAGCAGGTCCCAGAAAGTCAGGACATTTTACCCTTTGCTGGTTTCCCAGAGTGACTTCAAAAACAAAAGCCGATCTTGGCGAACCTGCCACCATGGCTTGACCTGAGTGAACTGTTTGCACGCGTAAGCGTCACAGCCTTGTCAAACCCGAGTTGCGAGTCTTTCACATAGCTGTAAATTCGAGCAGTGTAGGCTCTGTTGTGAATGGCACGCTCTTCACGTGCCACGCTACTGTGCCACTCCAACCCCTTCCCCTCAAAACACCCTCGACACATTTTCCTAAGAACCCATCCAAACCACTCAACTCCTCCAAAGCCCATTCCAACCACCCAAGTTACAAACTTCCTTTTCCAACTCATTGGCTTGGTCTCCTTTCAAGGTTTGGTCTCCTTGACTGCAACCCAGTTGAGACCCCACTCCCCTCAGACTTCACGCTGAGCTCGCACGAGCAAAGCATTGACCCCTCCACAGTCGAGTCAGAGGTCACTGAGTTTGAGGGTGAGGTCGAGAGCCTTGAGCCTCCTGAGGACATTGGTCATGACACCTACGCACCACACTCCACATCCCATATCACACCTCTTGAGAGCGTAGCGATAACGAGAGAGTTTCTGCTATGAGAATGATGTTGCGCCAACAACTTGGTAGAGTTTCGGTAGAGTTTGCCTCTAAGGACTTAGTGAGGATTGAAGTAGCTTTTGGGCCAAGTAGAATTGCAATATCAAACTATGAAGACAAAAACAAACACACAACTAGATATAGGCTACGGGAAGGTTTCACAAAGTTGGCGTGGCACTGCGCAGTAACCCAACCCCACGAAAGTGGTGTGTGGGTGAGCGAACGCGCCTCGTCAACTTCCCAACCCAACTCAGCAGGGAAGTCAATGCCGAGCTCGCCAATTCTCCCAGCACAACTAGAAATGGCAAGACTCACAGAGAATCACCCACAACCACCAAGACCACCCAAGAAGCATGCCCACGATTTCCCTAGACTAACACCACCCCAGCAATGACTGTTTAGTGCTGCCGTTGTCACATCGCGTCACTACGCAACCATCGCCATATCATAGGGTCGGTGCTGGACTGCTCGTCTTGGTCTTTCATAGTCGACCTGCCAAGTCAAACGGTCGTCGAGGGCCCTTGCTGTCGTAGGGCCCTCTAACACTCCCCTGCCATACTACAGCAAGGCCCTTTATAATCACAGGGCATGCATACACGCATACACGCCAAAACAAAGGGAAACACACACAAACGAAGCACTCTCAAAGTGCAAACACGCACCGCACCAGCCATGGATAGGCCATGGCACCATCCACATCATGGAGTGTCTAGGTCTCACTCCCCTCGCTCGAGAGCCTCACCTGCCCCACAGCCTCGAAGCAACGACTGAAGGCGGGGAAATGCAATGCCTTCGTGAGGTAGTCAGCAGGCTGCTCGCTCGTAGGGATGTACTGCAGCTGCAGCTTCCTGCGCTTGACCATGTGCTGCAGCCACATGTGACGACGCTCCATGTGCTTGAGGCTCCCCTTGAGCCCCATGCCACCTGCCACTGAAATGGCAGAGGAGTTGTCCACAAAGAGAGTAGTGGGCTCCTCACTCCTCAGCAGTTGAAACTCTGCCAGCAGGAAGCGCAGCCTGCGCGCCTCCTTCCCAGCCTCCACAGCAGCAACATACTCAGACTCAGTGGAGGAGAGGGTGGCGCAACGAATCCTCTGGCTCGCCCAAGAGACAGCAGCACCCCCGAGCACGAAGATGTAGCCACCAGTACTGGTCCTGTTCTGCTTGTCTCCCGCATCATCAGCATCGGCGTAGCCCACTAGCTCCAAGGACTCCGGCCCCCCACCAAACTCCAGCGCCACATCCCTGCTCCCCACCAAGTACGCCAAGCACCGGTTCAACTCCTTCCAGTGCTGATCACTCCGCACAGTCTGGCCCGACCCCAGCTTGCTGCAGGCGAACGAGATGTCGGGACGGGTGGTACAGGCCGCGAACTGCAAGGATCCCACCTTCTGCCTGTACTCCTCCTCCTGGCGAGACTGCCATCCCACATCCTCGAAGGTCTGCACACTGAAAGGGTCAGAGGAAAGAGGGGTGCGAGGCACTCGCAGCGGCTGCTCCCCGTCAAAGAAGCGCCTATGGACCTTGTCCACATAGGCCCCCTGGTGCAGCCATAGCCTCCTCGTAGGCTTGTCCCGAATCAGCTGCAACCCCAGATATTTCTCCACGGGGCTAATCTCCCGCAGCTGAAAGGCACTCTGCAGCAGGTCACGCAGCTCCCCTAGCAAGCTCTGACTGCGGCTGGCAGCAAGCAAGTCATCCACATACACCAGCAGCCAGCACATCTCCCCCTCAGCATCACTCTTGAAGTACAGAGCCTCATCCACCTTGCTCTTCTTCCATCCAGCCCCAAGCAGCACCCCATCCAAGGCCTCATACCATAGCATCGGGCTCTGCTTGAGCCCATACAGACTCTTCACCAACTTACAGACACGAGGAGTCCCATCCTCGTAGTAGCTCGGCTGCTCCATGTAAAGGTCTCGGTCCAGCATGCCATGGAGGAACGCGTTCTTCACATCCAGCTGCATCAGGTCCAAATCAAGTGCAGCTGCAATTGCCAGAAGCACACGTGCCGTCACATAGCTTCCCACAGGGGCGTACGTCTCCTCATAGTCCACCCCTGCCACCTGCGTGAACCCCTTCACCACCAGCCTCGCCTTCTCACGCTCCACTATCCCATCCGGTCGGAACTTGGTGTTCAAAATCCAGCGGTTCTTCATCACATTCACCCCTGGCGGACGCGGAACCAACTTCCACGTCCCCTGCTCAATCAAGCTCCGCATCTCCTCATCCATCGCCTCCTTCACCTTGTCGCCCTTCCAGCAGCCTAAGGCCTCCTTCACTGTCATCTTCGCTATATCCCACTGCCTCTCAGGGTCAGCCACCACGTCAGGGTCCAGGTCTGTCCACTCCTCGTCCTCCTCCTCGTCATCCAATCCCGCTGGCTCAACCACTAAAGCCCAAGCATACTTAAGAGGCGGGATACCACGAGTGATGCGAGTGGAGCGACGCAGTGGCGCAGTGATCATCCCAGAGGCCAACACACGACCACCATCTCTAATTCCCCACATCTCCTGTTCCCCTGTCTGCGGCTCCCCTGTCTGCTGCTCCCCTAGCTGCTGGTCCACCATCTGCTGCTCCTCAATCCGCTCCTCCCCTATCTGCTGCTCCCCTGACTGCTGCTCCCCTATCTCCTGCCCCCCACTCTGCTGTACTCCATCCATACTGCGTTCGTCCTGCAGCTGCTCAGACTCAAGGCGCTGCCCGTCGGTGATCTCCACAGACGGTGGCACCTCTATCCCCCCCTCACCAACGGGCGGCGCCGTGGAAGACGACGAGGAGGGCGGAGCAGGTGCAGGAGGGATGGAGGGTGGAAGGGGAGATGGAATAACAGGAGGAGGAGGGGGGGAAGCCAAGGGGGGTGAGGAGGAGGAAGGCGGGGCAGGGGGGATCACACGAGGGTAGACTGAAGGCGGAGGTGGGGTGGGGACTGAGGTAGGGACATAGGGCATAGCAGGAGGTGCGACCACCTCCTCCTCCTCCTCCGCCTCCTCGAGAGTGATCGGGAAGAGTGAGGGAAGGGGCGCATAGGGCATCGAACGCCCCCCATGCTCCTGCTGATGCCAAGCCTTCCATCCTGCCAGGGACATGGTCTCATAAAACACAGCTTCCACAGTGGTGATGAGGCGGTTGGACTCCAAGTCCAGCACGGTCCAGCCCTTGCTCGCAGCTGACACACCCAAGTGCAACCCCCAGCGAGCCTTAGGCGCCAGCTTCCCCCCACGCTGCGACTGTGGTACCATGTACTGCAGCATGCACCCCCAAACACGCACCATACTGACATCAGGTTTGCGTCGGAAGGCGAGCTCGTACGGCGTCACACCAGAGGGTAGTGAGGCGTGCTCCACGCGGTTGCGCACCCATACGGCCTGCGCCAACGCCAGGTGCCACCAGTGATGCTGCACACCCATGTGCAGCAACATCGTCCGCACCGCCTCCACAATGCTGCGCATCTCCCTCTCGGCCATCCCATTCTGCTCCGGCGTGTACGGGCATGTGAGGTCATGGATGATGCCTTTGCCGTCGAGGAAGAGCGTGAAGTCGTGCCCCAGGAACTCGCCACCCCGATCAGTGCGCAGCGCCTGCACCGTGGTCTTGCACTGTCGCTCTGCCATCGGGAGCCACTTCTGGAACGCCGCCAGCGCATCACTCTTCTGGGCCAAAGGGTAGGCCCAGACATATCGCGTCTTGCGATCCTTCAGCACCAAGAAGTAGCGGCTGCCGTCCTTAGCTGCTTCACGGAAAGGGCCACACAGGTCAGCATGCACCACCCCGAGCAACTCATCCTCCTCCTCTCCCACAGAAGGAAAGGTATGACGAGTGATCTTTCCCCCAACACAGGAGACACAAGGTATGCCTGACTTGCCCCCCTTCTCCAAATCCAAGCCCTTCACTGACCCGTGAGCCGCTGTGCGCTCGATGGCATCAATACCAATGTGTGCCATACGCGCATGCCACAGGTCCCCCTTAGACCGCACGCCCGTCGCCAAGGTACGAAGTGCCACCGTTTCGCCTTCCTGCTGCTGCGTCGAACACGGCTGGAAGTTCGTGCAGAGAACACGCCCCTTGAACTCCGCACGACCAAGGAGCGATCCATCTGGTGCCCGCAGCAAAGTCACATCCCCGGCATCCAGCAGCTGCACACCACTATCACGCAGCTGCCCAGCAGAGAGAAGACTCGCCTGCACTCCTGGTACGTACAGCACGTCCGGCACCAAGACACGCCTGCCCCCCTCTCCAAGAAGAGCGATTGTGCCTCGCCCCTGCACCTCCTGAAGGGCGCCGTTGAAGCCGGTAACCTGTTTAATACTGCCGCCGCTGCTCATCTCCACAAAGGCAGAACGATCTCCCATGAGATGGTGGGAGCATCCGCTATCAAGTAGCACGACACTCGGGTTCGCCTTTACAGCAGCTGCAACAGCCTGTAAGCCTTCTCCGGCCTCAGGCTCCAGCACAACGAGAGGAGTCTGCTCCACAACGGGCTTCACCATCGCACATGATGACTGCCCGCTCCCCTTAGAGCCATCACCCCCCTTTCCGCTGCTACCTCCAGAACCCTCTTCACCAGCGTCTGCCTCCTTATCCGCCCACTGCTGACAGTACTTAGCAACATGCCCTGTCTGTCCACACACATAGCACTTTCCCTTGAAGCCCCCTTTCCCCCCCTTCGGCTGGCCATCCTTACCCCCTTTCCACTTCTCCCCTCCCCCACCAGCCCCACCCCCATTCTTAGGCTGCTGCTGCTGTGCCGTAGTGGGAGGGGAAGGGAATGAAGTCTGCTGGAATTGGGGCTTACCCTTCTTGGTAAAGACCTGGTTAGCCTGGGGAAGGAATTGGTCATTTCGTCCCTCTGCCGCCAGCGTACACTCCTCCTCGATGATGTAGCTAGCGAGGGTGTCTTCGTCCAACTCCTTGCGCACCTGCGGCAACTTCAGCATCCAGCGCAAGAGGTTGTACTGCTGCGGCAACCCCTTCACAACGTGAGTGATGTACGACGCCTGCGAGTAATCTACGCCGGCCATCCTCATGTTCACTAGGATCTGCTGCGCACGGTTGCAATATGACGTAGCGGACTCGTGCTCTCCCATCTCGAGGTTAGTGAGCGCCTGCTCTAACTGACCGATGTACAGATCGTCCTTCGCCATGTACGTGCGCATAATAAACTGCCATGCCTGATAGCCGGCATCTACCTTCATGCGACACGCCTTAAGGGCGATCTGTACGGTTGGGGAGCAGCATTGGGAAATGGTGGTGAACGTCAGCAACTGCATCGCGCGGAACTGGGAGAGATGCGCAAGTGCACGCGCAGGTGGAATGGGGGTGGTGCCATCTATGAATCGTTTTAGCTGAGCGATCTCAAGCTGCGGCTCGATTGATTCTGTCCACGTCAACAGGTCGTGACGTCCTTCTAACGGCCTAGGGACAACGATCTTGTCTGGAGTGAATCTGAAGTAGCCATAGTTGGGGGCTATTCCCTCGTCCCTCGACATCGATCCAATCGGGGTAACGCCCGGCATAGCCTCACTATCGTACTCTTCCGCATTTCCTCCTCCAGCAACGCTCCGCCGTCCTACATTCGCATGCTCTCGTGACGCTGCTGCACGATGAACACGCTCCTGTACACCGCCGACGCTAGACGTACTAAACCGAGTTGGTCCTCGCAGGACCCCACGCGACATCAACCCATCAAGCTCCTCGTCATCGCTATTTCCGCCATCGACGGCCATATCCCACGCACTAGTACCTCCCGCAGCTTGCTCAACATTCTCTACACGTGGCGAAGGGTGCTCACGACGCCGACGCGAGCGCAATCCCTCCAATATTAACTCGTATTCGATATCACTAATCTCACCACGAAAATGTCGAGCCACGAGATCCTCCTCTAGGGCGCGCAAATTACCGGCCTCCACGTTCGCCTCCTCCGTACTCATCCTCTACGACATCTCTATAAGGTACCACAAATTAAAATAAATTGTCCCTTCCTTGAATCCCTCGTCTCGGGGTCACCTCACAAGGGTCCTCAGACGAATGGTAATAAATTACCAAGCGCCCTATCCTTGGGTCCGAGAACGTAACTGGAGGGAAATCAAGAGAGGTTCAACTTAAATTAATAAGCGCCCTTCACTAACGCCGCACGTCAAGGCGAGTATACGAACGCGGATATCAACGACGACGAAAATCTATGCGTGTTCGTTCCACGCTCACCGCACCATGAAGGAATATATTAGAGAGCGTAGCGATAACGAGAGAGTTTCTGCTATGAGAATGATGTTGCGCCAACAACTTGGTAGAGTTTCGGTAGAGTTTGCCTCTAAGGACTTAGTGAGGATTGAAGTAGCTTTTGGGCCAAGTAGAATTGCAATATCAAACTATGAATACAAAAACAAACACACAACTAGATATAGGCTACGGGAAGGTTTCACAAAGTTGGCGTGGCACTGCGCAGTAACCCAACCCCACGAAAGTGGTGTGTGGGTGAGCGAACGCGCCTCGTCAACTTCCCAACCCAACTCAGCAGGGAAGTCAATGCCGAGCTCGCCAATTCTCCCAGCACAACTAGAAATGGCAAGACTCACAGAGAATCACCCACAACCACCAAGACCACCCAAGAAGCATGCCCACGATTTCCCTAGACTAACACCACCCCAGCAATGACTGTTTAGTGCTGCCGTTGTCACATCGCGTCACTACGCAACCATCGCCATATCATAGGGTCGGTGCTGGACTGCTCGTCTTGGTCTTTCATAGTCGACCTGCCAAGTCAAACGGTCGTCGAGGGCCCTTGCTGTCGTAGGGCCCTCTAACATTGAGCTCTCACTTTACAAGAGCCAAGTGGGCAGCCTTATGTACGCCTCCATTTGCACCCGTCCCGATCTCGCCCATACCATTGCCATGCTCTCTCAATGCATGACATCACCCACTCGCATGCATCAGCGTGGAACACTTCGTGCTCTGCGCTATCTCAAATCAACCTCTTCCTTTGGTCTCCTCTTTCAAGGGTTTGACGGTGCAAGCATGCTGTATGGCTTCACGGATGCAAATTGGGCTGGGGATATCACCACCCGCAGGTCCACTGGAGGATACATCTTCATGCTTGGAGGGGCGGCCATCTCTTGGCAGTCAAAGAAGCAGAGCTGTGTGGCTCTATCATCCACGGAGGCAGAGTACATGGCTGCGACCCAAGGAGCCCGAGAAGCAGTGTGGATAAGAGGTCTTTTGAAGGAGCTTGACCTCCCACAAGAGAGCCCTACTCCCATTTTCATCGACAACACGTCGACGATCGCTCTCTCCAAGAACCCCGTCTTCCATGGAAGGACCAAGCACATCGCGACGCAGTATCACTACGTTCGAGAGCTTGTGGAGCAGAAAATCATTGAGCCCCGGTTTTGCCGCACGAGTGAGCAAGCGGCGGATTTCCTCACAAAGGTCGTTGCACGCGACATCTTCATCAACAACCGTGTTCAAGCCGGGTTAGTCCCAGCTGCTGAATTTGAGGGTACGGGCTTGCAGTGAGGGGGAGTGTTGTGAATGGCACGCTCTTCACGTGCCACGCTATTGTGCCACTCCAACCCCTTCCCCTCAAAACACCCTCGACACATTTTCCTAAGAACCCATCCAAACCACTCAACTCCTCCAAAGCCCATTCCAACCACCCAAGTTACAA